CAGGTGTGTGTGTGTGTGTGTGTGTGTGTGAGAGAGAGAGAGAGAGAGAGAGAGAGAGAGAGAGAGAGAGAGAGAGACAGAGAGAGAGAGAGAGAGAGAGAGACAGAGAGACAGAGAGACAGAGAGAGACAGAGACAGAGACAGAGAGAGACAGAGAGTGAGAGTGTGTTATTGAGTCAGGGAAAACTAAGAGCAGTGACAAACTGTCAAGGACTAAAAGAATAAAGTGTCTTTATTTCCCAACCCTGAGATAGTAGAGCTTAGAGTTAAGGAGCCAGGTACTAGGGTCACAGCAGTCTGGCTTCCATTCATTAGCTACTGATCTTAGGCAAAATGACCCCGTGGACCACTCCTCTAACACAGTACGACAGTACTGCACGCTTCGTGGCGCTGTAGAAAGGAATAGGTGAGCCAGTGTATGAAGGGCGCCCTGTCTGACATTCAAAAGCCCTTGATACATGCCAGATGTTCATCATACTGTCATTACTGCCAGCATCTAACATAGCCCCAGAATCTCCTTTATAGGGTGACTTATAGGCGCGCCCCCATACTGGACATAGCCCTGCGTTCTTTCTGCCATCATGGTGACTCACACCTTGCCAGAAATATATCGTGTTCAGTCGCATGTTTGCAAATGACACATCATTAAGGGGGCACCTGAGGAACTAGGGCAAATCAATACAGTGCGAACAAATGGCTGAAATCCCCCGTCAGATGTTCCCATTGTTTTTGCTGGTGCAGGAAGATGTTTGGGTGTTTGATTTGTATGTTTGTTTTTATGCTAGCTCTATTAAATCTGTTTGCAGCCTGAAGAATGTTTGCCAGACAAAGCAAGACACATGTGCCAGTTATGAGAGTCCTAAAACAGCTGCTGGCTTCAGACTTAGCTTGAAATGTGACAGGTTTTCCTAATGCCTGGGCTTCTTGTTCTTTACAATGACGCATATTCACTGGGAGACTAGATCGTTGCCTCCTTGTTCCAAGCTGCAGGACAGGTGACATGTTCAACCTCCTCAAGGTCCTTGCTCTGTGAGACTGTGTGCCCGGGTGCATCCACATGTACACGTTGCACCCTCCCGTTCCCCTGACAGGAGGGCCATTTTCCCTCAGATGAGCCAGCGGGAACCAGGAGAATGATGGTTTCTATAAAACCCGGTGGTCGAGAGTCAGGGCTTTGGGAATGAGATGAACTTGAATGGGAAGCCCCGCTCTAGCTTCTCCTAACGTTGGCCTTGTGTCTTTGCCTCTCTGAGGCTCAGCTCTCTCATGTTTAAAGTAGGCTTAGGGGATTGCGGCATGGTGGTGCATGCCTGTAATCCTAGTACTTGAAAGGCTATGGCAGGAAGAGCATACGTTCTGTTTCTGCCTGGGCTAGATGTAAGGAGATTGTGTCGCAAAAGAAGGGAGGGAGAGAAGGGAGGTGGTAATAACTTAGAGATACACCTCACAGGTGTGTAAATATTAAGTTTGACATGCCATATAAAACTGGAAGCACAGCGACTGACCTCTATACACTTGTTAGTTCTTAATGTTATTATCTTTCCTCTTGCCTTTTTTACTTAAGGGACATGGGTGGTTCACAGCTACACCACCACCACCAAAGAGGTCTCACTGCCTCCTGAGCATGTCATCCCTTTGGCACTCCATTAAGGGTCCAATGGGAAGCTGAGAAATACAGCTAAAGCCCATTTCTAGAGTGAGAAAATCTGAGGCTTGCAGGATGCAAGCCAAGCTCTCCACCAGGGTTAATAGGCTAAGCTTGGGGTTCTTTGTCTTTTGTCCAAACCTCACTCCCTTTGTACTCCATATGCATATTATGTATGCATGGGTGGGGTGCTTCCAGGAACCCCATAAAACTCCTAATCCTCAGATGCTCAAATCCATTATATAAAATGGGTATAACCTATGAACGTCCTCCTGTCCCTTGTAAGTCCTCTTAACTACCTGTAGTACCTAACAGTGTCAGTACTGTGTAAGTAGACTGCTTTGTTTAGGAAATCATGGCCAGAAACTCTATCCATGTTGAAATAGATGCCTTCTTAGGAATGTTTTTATTTTTTTAAAAACACGGTTGGTTGAATCCATGGAACCCATGGATCCAGAGAGCTGGAGAGTATTTACATCTCTGTCCCTCATTCCTCAGCTCTGAGAGGTTCCTTATCTACTGAAAATCTGTATCTGTGATGTCAGTGGGGTCTTAAGGCCTCAGACTTTCTGGTGACTTTGAGAAAGCCTCTGGTTACCCATTTTCATAAATAGGGACAAGAAATGTGACCAAAGGATAGAAATAGGACTCATCAATTCCACCACTAACTAGCTTTGTTCTTTTTGACAAGCTATCTGATCCCTCGAGGTTCCCTTTGCCTTGTCTACAAGTAGGACAGTGCAGCTGAAATAATAAGACATAAAAACACAACTCCATGAACGATGGTTCTCCTTGATTATATGGTAGCAGTGAAATTCAGTTCGGTGATGGGCCGTCTTGGATTCAACTCTGTCAACAGCCTCTCTTAAAAGTCCTTGAGGTCTCGTGCCACATCCTGCTCATTGAAGCACCTTCTCCCTTAGTACTTGCCAAAGTGGAGGCTGGTTGGTTAGAAATGTACAGATAGATAACAGAACTTGTACCCAATGTTACTTCACACACACACAGAGAGAGAGACAGAGAGAGAGAGA